TGTGCTTTCTTTCTCTGTGTGTGTCAAATAAATACATAAAATCTTTAAAATATATATATTATATATATATATATATAATATATATATATATACAAGTTTGATTTCTTGGTATAGGTACTACTAAAGTTTTTGGTGTAAATACTACTAAAATGCAACAGAATCACATGCACACACCAGGAATTTCATTATTGCTGTAGTCTTCCTTCTTCTGCCTTTTTTCTCAACTCCCCCTCTCCTGACTCTCAGTGGCAGCCACAAAGCACCAGGAGCCTCCGGCTGTCCTCTCTGAATCTTGAGTCTTACTGGTTGAAATTGCAGACAGGTCTTCCCCACGCCCTGCCCCCATCATGTCTCTGTCTCCCTCAGAAGCAGTGAGTGGTGGGTATGCTGCTCTAGTCTGATTAGATAAAGTCCAGCAACTCATGTTCAAGGCCCCTCTGCGTGGCTCTGGCTTCCCCAGCCAGTGTGAGCTCCCCACACAAACACACAGAGTTCAGCCTGCCCCCGTGTGTATTCTCTCTCTCCTCCTATCCAAATCCTACTCATTCTTTGGATCCAGTGTACATCCCACTTTCTCCCCAGATCTCCCATTCCTCCATCCTGAGCATTGGAAATGCCCCACATGTACTTGATTCAGGGGCACTAACTAAATGGGACGGAGCTGCCTTTTAAACAGCGATATGATCTGTGCTTAAGTATTTGCTTCTTAAAATGCAAATTACTGGAACAGGTAGTAAGATTGCAAAAAACTCTGGTGAGTGTCTACTCCTCTTCCATCATTAAGCTTTAGGTTGTCTCGGGACCCACTCGAACCTATTACAGTCAGCCTGACACCCTTCTCCAAACCAGATACCTCTGGGTCCTCAACTCCATTGAGCTGTGGTGGCCTTTCCCAAGAATATCGCAGGCATGGCAATGGAGGCCTGGCTCATCGGTGTTTATGTGTGTCTGTCTTGAAGGTCTTTTTCTCTTTCACTGGATTTTTTTTTTTTTTTTTTTACTAAGGATTTAAACAACAAACAGTTGCCTGAATATAAAGCATAATTTCTTTCATAAATAGAAACCAGTACTTATTTCTGAATAGTTGCAAGTGGAGAAAAAAATAGCATATTATTATTCAGTAATTCTGTTTCAACCTAAATTTTGCATTTAGGATTCTAGGACTCTTCATCCGCGGCATTGAAGAAAATAGCAGGTCCAAGCGGGAGGGACTATTTCATGAAAATGAATGTATTGTAAAAATCAACAGCGTGGACCTTGTAGACAAAACCTTTGCTCAGTAAGCATTTTTTTCATTGTTTTATTTACTGTATTGATTCCTAGCATACTTATAATCATTACTAAGCTCTTGATGATCAAAATTGTTGTTAGAATATCTGGTCAGTCCCCTTTGAATGACCCCAGGACATCCATTTTCAAAGGCATCTTAGGTGTTAGCATCCGCAAAGGTGGCCTGCACATGTCTCTGGCGACCCCAAGAATAGGAAACTGAAGAATATAGCAAGCCTTCCCGCCTGGTTGTCTGTTTGGATCATCCATAGATGGGTTTGTTTTGTTTGGGCTGTGGGTCAGTTAGACTGGTATTTAACGACTCTTTTCACAGACTGTTAGTTCAGCTTATTAATTAACTAGCTTTGTGTCAGCAGTCTTCCTTAAACTAAATGTCTGTGAGAGATGTCTGTGAGGACTCACTGAGTAATAGAAACAAATAAAAAAAAATTAAAATATTCTCCCTCAAGTAATCATTTTTCTGCATGTGCAAATGTTATGGGAATAGGTTCTTATAGCTAAGAATTAGAGTATGCAGCAGTCTGATGCATATTTTTTTAAATGTATGTTGGCATTGCAGTGGGGCTCTAGAACAAGGGAATCAATACTAATTAAGACTCCTTAGTAATGACCACCAGCTTCTCTTGTTTCTGACTCAAACAAGGCATCGTATATATTATCTGTAACCATTCTCTGTCGCTATTTGTATGTTTGGTTTTTGGGGGGTGTGGGGGGGGAGGGTGAATGGTTGTGGGTGAGAAGGGCTGTGGGCACTGGCTCCTTAAGTGTGGAAAGAAATGAAAACTGAAAAGTCTATTTCTTCAAATAATAATACCACTCTACTTTTTATAAGGACTTGATAGGTATGCAAGGTAGAAACTGAGGCTCATACAAATTCAGTCTGAAGGCAGTATGGAGTAGAAACTGACTCCCAGGGGCGCCTGGGTGGCTCAGTTGGTTAAGCGGCTGCCTTCGGCTCAGGTCGTGATCCCAGGGTCCTGGGATCGAGCCCCGCATCGGGCTCCCTG